GAAGACTTGGCGTTACTATTGGATGCACAAGATGGGGGGATAGAGGTTTGGATTGGGTTGCCAAGACCAATTATGTGCCATCTTGGCAAAGATGATGAGTTCATTTCTCATGTAACGTTTAGCCAAATTGTGTGGGAACCTCTTCATATGCCACCTCGTCTCTAGATGAAGGGAAAACTTCATGTGTGTTGAAACCCACCTATGCTTCTCTCATCTTTTAATGAATACATACTTTGAATTATTGGCAACTTTTAGTGTAACATGCAAAATAATAGCTACTCGAGAGTATATAGTTGTGGCATTATTATCTCTTGTGTTATGTTTCTCTCTAGCTTGTGTTATGTTTCTCTCTTGTTAATTTTTAGCATTAGCATTATTATCACGTGCAGACGTAGTCTTTTTTAGATTTACTCGTGAAAGTTTTTAATTTTTTCAAATCAGGTGGCACTGAATTTCAAACTTGTGACCTCTTAGTCAACAAAGCTCTGATACCATGTCAATAGACTAATTCAACTAAAAGCTGAAACTTGTAGTAGTTGTGACTGAGGAGGTGTTATTTATATTCTAACATAATTTCTGTCATAATTTTTTTGTGCTTAAATAAACATTAAAGAAATCTAAAGTAAAAAAGTATGAAAATACTAAAATGTGAGTCCGAAGTTTTTTAAGACCAAACTAAGAGTATAATGGCAGTGTAGTGTAAGAGTACGCGTTGATAGTGTAATGAAAAATGATATGACGATAGTGTAATTACATATTTTTTAAGAGTACACCATTAAAATTTCATATTTTTACCCATTTTCCTACTCCTTTAATTACATAATTTACTTTTCGATGTTTGTTTTTTAAACTTTTGATTTTATTTTTAAATAGATAAATTATATTTTTTAATTCCATACAAAATTTAAAAAAGATTTAATTGAAAATAATTCTAGCTAGATAATTTAAGCTGGAACATAAAGAGCAAATCTTTTGATATAGTTCTTAAATAAATTATTTTTTTATTTATTCCTACACTAATATTTTTAATACGCTTAATTGAAAATAGGGGAAAAAGCTTATTTCTTTACATACATACATACATACATACATAGATATATATATATATATATATATATATATATATATATATATATATATATATATTTATTTATTTATTTATTTATTTATTTATTTATTTATTTATTTCTACACTAATTTTTTAATACCAAATTAAGAGTTTAATGTTTTTATTCTTAAAATAGAAGTTAAAGTACATATACAATATGTGTTGTGAATTATCCATACATAGTACCACATCATTAAAGAGCCAGCACCTACTTTGAAGATTAAAACATTAATATCCTGTTTTAATATTTTCTCTATGTTTTACTTCTATTTAGAATGATTTCTTTTAAAAATAAGTCAAAATAATAAAGTTTAACGTCAAGTTCTTTTGAGAAGGAGGGGATATCACATACTCCCTCGGTCCACAAATAAACTTTACGTTCACTATTCACAGGGTCAAACTTTATTCACTTTGTTGTCCTATTTTCGTCACCCATTTGATAAAATAATATAGTCATGTCACCTCTAGTTTTGTAGATCTTTTGATATAATTTTTTAATATGTAATTTTTATTTTTCAATTCTACACCATTTTTCATATAAAATGATTTGAAAATAACTTCAGTCAAACATCGTAACGCGTAATGTAAAGTTTATTTGTGGACGGAGGGAGTAATATTTAGAAAATATAAAATGTACCATAGTTGTTGCTCTATAATATGATATAATATGAGCAAATTTTAACAAGTATACCTTTCTTTCTTACATAAGACCTTATTAAGAAGACCTTATTAAGATTGTGTTGTGATACATATGACCGTATACGTCTATAGGCATCACACAAATATGTATTGGCCCATAGCATTTCGTTAAGACACATTGTTCTTTTTAAAATCCTCTGATCTATCAATGAAAAAATTTGCTCCACATAGGACTAAAAATAATGTGTTTCCGTGAATAGGACCAACTATATTGTATTAGTTTTATGACACATAATTCAATATAATCTGTCATATATATCCTCATTAGCAATAAATGTTGGATAATGACTGATTATACGAATGACTCTACGAATGTGATCATTAGTAATAAGTATTGGATAATCAGTCATTATTTGAATGACTATTCAAATTATTTTTAATAATGTCTTATTCTACTTGAATTGTGTAATAGACTATTTTTCTCAAAGGTAGGGTATTTCAGAAATTTCCATTGACAAATACTAGAGTAGATGAGACTATTTTACTATATACAAAGCAAAAAGAACTGGGAACTGTGTTCCCGCCATTTCACTGTAGCACTCTACTGGGCTGCTTTAGCTAAACATCTAAAAATACAGATAATATTAAATGCACTAAATTTTGGCCCATTTAGAGTCCAAATTCAGCCCAAGTCACTTAAACAAACCCTATTTCACATCTCACAGCTTCACTCACTATTATAAATACAACATTCAAACAAAAAAATACATCACACTTTCCAAAAACAATCCTATTAAATTTATTTCTCTATCTCATATCACTTCTCCAATCAATGGCAAGCCTTGGGCAAAATCTTCAATCTTCATATTACACCGCTAACTTACACTCCTTTGTAGCTATAAGTGTTCAATTAGCTCCATATATTTACCTGTTTTTTAATTAAAACAAAACGCATACCTCATTTATTTGCTCAAGTAAACACTAAATTTGATAAAAATGACTGCAGAATCTAATATTTTGGTTTGCTTGAAATGAAATAAAGAGATAATTCTGAAATGATACAAAAATGGAAATGACATTTTTTTTGGATAAAATTTCCGAGCTAATTTTAAGAAATCGGCAGAAACTCCATACTAATTTAAAAAGATCTTGAAAAAAGGCAAACAAAAAATAATATAAATCAGGGGCTGGAATTCTTATATTTATAAAAATATATTTCAATAAATGTATTTACAAATGTGTGTGTGATTATATATATATATATATATATATATATATATATATGTATGTATATATATATATATATATGTATGTATATGTATATATATATATATATATATTTCCCGGGGCTCAGATTTTTTAATCCGATTTTAAGTTTGAGGCCAAAAGAGAAATGCATTCGCCATGGCTGCTGCAACGGGGATGAATACTGTTGGAATGCATGAGTTCAACCCTTTCTGTGTTGTTAAGTGTTGATTCACAGGTTTTGATAATTGACAAACACAATTTATTCAAGTCAAGATCAAAGTGCTACAACGACAAACACGAAGACTTGAAGTGCCATTCCTTGAAGTATTCAAGAAGGTGCACAAGATTTTTTGGAGTCCGAGACGCGTTCGGAGCGCCTAACGGAGGACTCGGAGGAGTAGAAGATTTCCGAAGACTTTTTATTTATTTGAGTCGTAGGAACATTTGTAAGGATGACAAAAATATCTTCTCTCCAAAATTATTTTTATGAGAGTTAAAATAAAAATTATATTTATTTTTGGAGTCAGTTGAAAAATCTTTTTAACTGTTCAAAATAGTTTTATTGAGTCAGTCACAAAAGGTGTGCCAAACATTTATCAAATATTTATTTTGATATTATCAAATATTTTTGGTAAGCAAACATATTTTATTCAAATATTTTTTGTGTACATCGTTTGACACACAAAATAATTTTTGGACTCATTTTTACTCCCTTATTCAAATTCATTGAATAAGAGAAGGAGGGTTCTTTGATTCCCGTTGTCTCAAACAACGTGTGTTAAGCCAATTCTTTATCTATCGCAACTGGCTTGGGCCCTTTGTGTTTTGCGCATTATTTCCTCCATAATCGATTATCTGCCTTAATTTAATCGATTAATTGCTTCGCTGGATTTCTCTAGCTTCTAGCTTAATCAATTTTTTGTTCTTATATTAATCGATTAAGGCTCACAGCGCCACCTAATCAATTTTCATATCCAGATTAATCGATTATTTCCGTGCAGTAGGAATCTTTCTCAGACTGCATTAATCGATTATTGGCACTGCATTAATCGATTATTATGCTGCATTTTTCATCACAGCTTCTTTTCTTGGACCAACGGATATATTCCTTCAACCCCTTTATAAACCTCACTCCTTGGTCATTTTTACGATGAACAAGCACTCCTAAAATCCCCCAATCTTGAGGTTATAATCCTCCATTCATTTCTTCCTCAAATTGATATATTTTGAGAGAAAACTATTTGTTTTTAAGAGAGTGTTTTGTCATCCATTAGAGCTTTAATCATTTCTCTTATCTACTCTTTTGAGAGCTATTGTTGAGAGGTTGAAGAAGATTCTTCTTCTTGTTGTTCAAGGCTTATGTGATTTAAGTCTTGGTTGTGAAGTCTTGTAGAGGGCATATCTACGAGCGGTTGTGTCGAGGCTTGTGAGACTCAAGTTCTCGAGTTGTAAACGGTTTGTTAAGCACCCGTAAGCTTAACGGAAGTAGTGGTAGCTTCGAGAGAGTCTCTCGGGGAACTGGACTAGCCACGAGGTGGTGAACCAGTATACATTGGTGTGTTCTTTTCCTTCTCTATTTTATTTCCGCTGCACTTTCGTTTATCTTATTTAATCCTGCGAAAATCGGTAAACATTCTCAACAACTCTATTCACCCCCCCTCTAGAGTTGCACGCCTTGTCTAACAATTGGTATCGGAGCAGGTATCTCTAACGTTTCTTGTGACGTTTGAGAAAATGATCAAAATTTTTTTGAGAATGTTGAACGCAGGGATTAGAGAAGGGCAATCCACCGAAAGACCACCGTTGTTCAATGGAACAAATTATTCATATTGGAAAGAAAGAATGAAAATATTCATTCAATCCATTGATTACAAATCATGGATGATGATCAACAATGGACTTTGTCTTCCAACAAAGAAGGTTGGCAAGAAAAGAGTCCTCAAACCCGAAGAGGAGTACACGGATGATGAGCTCAAAACGGTAGAACAAAACACTAAAGCTCTACACCTTCTTTATTGCGCCATCGACGTGGAAGTATTCCAAACCTTCTCGGGATATGTATCGGCGAAGAAGTTATGGGACGACCTTCAAGAGAAATATGAAGCTCTTGAAGAAGCTATGGAAGAATCCCAAACTTGCTTCATGGCAAATGAAGAAAAGGAGCTAAATACATCTGACTCTCCTTCTTTTGAAGAATTGCAAGAAGCTTTTAAAGAATTATTTAGTGAATTCAAGATAGCTTCAAAATTTGCCAAAGAGGCTAAGGCTAAAATTCAAGCTTTAGAAGATGAA